GGTGCTTTGGGGGTCCCGGTGCCGCCGGGGGTGATGTCAGGAGGTTGGGCTGGGCTGTTTGTCCTGCAGCTGGCCCCGGGGCCATCTGGCAGGCAGGGAGGGATGAAGTAAGGCTGGATGATGTGCAGGGCAGGGGCCGATCCGAAACCCGTGGCCTCTGTTTTGGGAACACTTCCTCAGCACCCGCAGTGGGGGGCAGCACTGTGGGGGTGAAGCCTCCCTCCATGGCCCTGACTCATCCCGGTGCTCGCCAGCAACCTTGGGAGGACCCGGCCGACCTTCCCGCTCCTCCGCAGGAGACACACCACGCTGCCCACACCCCTGCCCGCAGGCCGGGGTGAGATGGGCAGCGCCTGCAAAAGCGCTCAGGGCTGCACAGACGTTTTCATCACTGTTATTTTAATTCTTTTTTTTACAAAAAAAAAGACACCCTTCTGGTCTGCCTTACAAAAGAGATGTACACAAACCTGTACTAGAAAAAAAAAAGTTTTCCCAGAAGAAATGGGAAGTAACCGTGTATAAATATTCTCTCTGAGTTCTTAAAGCTTCAATTCCCGGTTTGCCTGCTCGGCGCTTCCTTTGGCCCGGGGGTCCCGAGGGTCCCAGCACCTCAGCCGGGCCTTATTGCTCACATCAGCTTCCAGGGAGTTGACAGTCACAGGCCGTGCTCTGCTAAAGGACCCTTGTTACCAGCACGTGGACGTCCCTTAGCCGAGTCACTGGCAGCTTTCCTTTTAGCAGTAGCTAAAAAAAGCCCACCCAACCCCCAAATTAAAACCCCAACCCCCCTCTCTTTCACTACCCACGTTCTACGTAGTCACAGAAATCAAGGCACCGAGCAGTAAAATTAGTGTCTCCTCCCGAAGCATGGCAGCCTCTCGGAAATTGCACATTACGGGTTTGGGGGTTTTCTGCCTCAATTCAGCTAACTCCTTGGCATTCCTTGGCAGCCGGGTGCTGCCGCTGGAGCTCAACCCTCAGCTGTCCGGGCCCCTCCTCGCCCGGCAGCCCTGTCCCGCCTGGCTCAGAAATAGGAGGGTTTGAGCCCCGGGGTGTTGTTGTTGCTGGGGTAGTGCGACTGCATGAGCGGGACCTCACACTCGGAGCTGCCGGAAAGCATCGCCGCCTCCGGCACCTTGCAGCCGTGGCCGCTCAAGTCCCCGTTTTCCAGGCAGGCTTTCACCCCTTCCAGCTCCAGCGGGCTGGCATCCACCCCGGCGCCAGCATGTGCCTTCGCCCGGCGATGCCGGCAGTAGTACATGCCGGCGGTTGCCACCACCACCAGCAGCAGCATGGCGGCCAGCGCGGGGACGATCATCAGGGTGAGGTTGCTGTCCTTGCTCTGGGTGACAGGGGAGTGCTGCTGGTGGCTCACCGGCAAGGTCTGCGCCTCAGCGCAGTGCTCCTCCTTGGAGACCTTCTCCCCCAGGGGCCCGATGCAGACGCGGTAGGTGCAGTTGGGCTTCAGCGCCCGCACCGTGTACTCGGAGAGTGACGCCGGCAAACGCAGCATCACCGGCCGCTTGTCCGGCCCGGAGAGATTTCGGTAGCTCAAGCGGATGCCCTTGAGCTGTGCTCTGGACTGGACATAGTTCTGCAAGTCCACTTTGAGGGAGGTGCTGCTGACCTGCACGATGCTGATCCGCTGGCTGGGCGGCGGGGCCTGCGTGGCCGGGGACGGCGTCGTCCCCCTCGCCTCCACCTCGCAGTACGCCCCGGCAAAGCCCACCGGGCACAGGCACTCCAGGTGGTTTTGGGCACCCAGGTGGCAGGTGCCACCATTCAGACACGTGCGAGGGGGACAGATGGGCACCGGGGGGCTGGTGGGGGCTGGGGGGCCGCTGAAGGGCACCGGCGTGGAGCTGCCC